TTTGTTTTTAACTTTTAATTTATATTTATAAAAATTTTAAAAAGAATAATGTTTGAGGGCCCGAAATTAGTGGCCCGAATGTGGCTCAAAACCCAAAACGACGTCGTTTTGGGTTTTGAGCCACATTCGGGCCACTAATTTCGGGCCCTCAAACATTATTCTTTTTAAAATTTTTATAAATATAAATTAAAAGTTAAAAACAAAGTAATTACCAAACAAATCCTTAACATTTGGAAACAATTTGAAAACACGTGAAGGGACAGACTATGCTCTACGCTAAGTTATTTTCGACCACAGTAGATAAATCTCTTAAGTCTGACATCTTGGCGTAGCGGCTGCTTTTCCATCGCTTGATATGATTGTCTTTTTTATTTTTACAAAAAAAAAAATATATTTTGTCACTTAAATTTATGGGACTCGAATAATTTGAATATGTTGTTTTAAGGGTTGGTCTGTAAAGTAAGTTATTTTTTTGATTTTTTGATTTTTTTAGTTATTTTAATTTGAGTTAAAAAGTTTAGATTTTTTGGCTTTTTGATTTTTTTGTGAGAGAAGAGTGTAATGATTATGAATTGGATGTGATGTTTTGTTTGTTGTGACTAAAATAATTTATTTTATCTTTTGTGACTAAAATAATCAAAAAAATTCACAAAACCTCTTCCTAAACAATGCCTAAATTATTTTTTTTCAATTATAATGTGTATGATCCCATTGTCATAAATAATAAAAAAATAAATATAAATATTTTAGACCTGAACAAACATATTTTTGAATTTATGTTTTTAAAATTTTTCTAACATTTTATTTAAACTAAACGCGTTTGTAATTTATATTTTTTTAAAAATAAATAAAAACAAACTTATAAAATTTTTATAAATATAAATCAAAAACGTAAATGTCACCACACGCTGATTTAATTTTCTCCCGTCACACCAGTTGCTGGATTTTTGTCTCGGGCAGCAGTGTCATCCCTTCATCTTATGTCTTCTCGTCTTTGGATAAAGAACCATATGTGCTAGAGGTACTAGAGAATCAAAACTAGTGGAAAGGAAAGGACAGTACGATTTGAAACAACATACAAGAAAACGCAAATGGGTTGCATAGTAGTCGTTGGGCCTGACTGCTTGTTAAGCCCAATCCATGATTCATAGAGCCTGTAGGAATGGACAAGACATCTTTTTAGGCCCGTTTGTGGGAAGGCTTTGAAAGAATGCTAAAATTCTGGCCCAGCCCATTTAAAATTTCTATATACATACATCTATATCCAACATATATAATATATGAGTGCGTGCAACACGATGGTTAATTAATGTGGCCACTCGTTAACCAAATTCATATATATATATATAGCATATTTATGTAGAAATGATACAGAGTCCCACAAACAGCCCACCCTCACGACCCCTACACACACGTGCCAGAGAAATAGGAAAAAAAATCAAAAACAAAAAAAAACATAAATACATGACTGATCACAATCATTTGAGATAATAAAAGTCTTCCAAAACAAGGCCCCAAATATTTTCCATATTTATAAACGTACATTTTAAATAGATTCATATTTATAAGAAAACATCCAAATCGTTAAATTAGCAACATTAGTGACTCATTCTGCCTCATAAATTTAATTTAAACTCTCATCCGGTAAGTGACAAGAAAAAGAAAAAAAAATCTAAGTGCATATGTACACTTTCCCTAACTTGCACTGCACCACTATCCCCTTTCATTTTTCCTCAGCTACCACTGTGTCCTCTCTCTTCTTCTATCCTCCACTATCACCACCACCATCCAACCAGAAATCACCACCTGTCTCTCCTCCAACCACCACCACCATCAAACCTAGCATCACTGCCACAAAGCCACCACATGCAAGTTCCAAACGCTGCTGCCCCCTCCAAAAGCAACACTACAAACCCTCTACCAACACCAACACCAAAACCATCATCATCGCAACAAAGCCACAATTGCCGCCACAAATCCACCACCACCAACATCAAACCCGCCATCACCACCATCAAATCCACCATCCCAGCCATCGGTAGAGGTTTTGGAGGTTGGAAATTGCAGATCTCAACAGGACGAAGAGAAAGGGAGAGAAAAAAAATGGAATAACTTGTCTAATGTGCCACATTTTTATTGGTTTCCCATAAACAATTTATGAGAGAACATTAAATAAGTTATTCTCCTCAAATATAGTTTATGAATAGAGATTATTTAGGAAACAATCCTCTGCCCAAAAATCAGTGATTTTTGTCGTTGGATTTGAGGTGAAGGTTTTTAAAAATTAATTTCAAATCAAAGTGCACAAAATAACCCCCTGTTATTTTTAAATTTAAAGCAGACGATAATCTTATAAAATTTTAAGAAATTAATTGAATTACATGTTAAAAGAGAGTTGAACCCCTTATATCTAACCTTTATTTTGAAGGCCACGGTTCCACTGTTCGAAGTAGTCTAAACAGAGGTAAATTCAGCTTACCAAATAGTCGCATGTCCACCCAATAATAAAATGACACATAACCATCGTATCTAAAAATTAGAAAACTATCATGTATTCTCTTACTATTAAAAGGACACACGACGTGTACAGTAGTGTTCTACCTACTAGATAGTTTCTCCAAGTTTGGCTACTTGTGCAAACCGGCAATGAAAGTGAAAGACTATACATACATACATACATACATACATACATACATATATATATATATATAAACATAGAAGGTCCACCCAATAAAAAAAGTACATACAGATGCCCTAGAAAACTAGAAACTTCGGTGAGTAGTCATAGCACAACGACAAAAGAGAAAGCACAAGGCAATAGAAAAAAAACCTAACATGAATATATAATGAATAATTCTCTGTTTTTTTGCCTTTAAACCACAAAAATAAACAAAGGTGGTTTAGCTTTAGCTGTATTGGGCAATAAACGCATGTTTTGCGAATCTGTGAACAAAGTTCCAAGGTCGGTTTTGTTAGATGTAATCCCTACCAAAACAGGACGATGATGGGCAACAACTCTTTTGACAAAGACTTACCCGCCATTGAATATATTTTTCACTCTGCAAAATATAAGTTGCCTACTAGCTTTCATGTATATATATTTATGTCATACTTATCATCTCTAACAATATTCTCTATTCTTTTTCTAAATTTTAAGTAAATATTTGAATTTTTATTTTTGAAGAACCATTTCTGAATGGTGAGTTGCTCAGTCCAAATCCTAAGAGATGCTGCAGGATCTCTTTGATACTCTAGTTTTGGAACACCTGGTTTTGACCTTTAGCTTCACAACTTGAACGGGCGTCGTTTTCAGTCTAGGTTTAAGAAAATAATTTCATATTAGTAGTAAACTCCATAAACATTAAGCTAGGCCACAAACTTTTCCATTAATCTATAAATAATTTATGGAAGTACCACTGACCTGTAATTTCCCCCTTTTTTTCTCTCTCCATCTGTCCACCAAAATTTCTCAGTCCACCTCTTTGTATTTTTGTAAAATTCTAATATCCTTTCATTTGAATTGCATCCACCCAAATGGAGCCTTGAATCAAACTTATGCCAATAGTCATTGTCTAGCTAAAAACTTAGTTCGGATTTATGAGATTTGAAAGGAAAAAAATTTGACACTACTCATTCACTCTAAAAAAACTCGTATTTAGATATCAGTTTCAAGATTTATTACTTTGTAAACTTAATCGCAATGGATTTAAAATAACAATGAATAGTTATTAGAAATCCAGATTCTAGCACTAGAAAGATGTTAATAAACACAATCTTTTCTACCTCTATTTTATTCTTCCTTTCTAGTTAGTCAATCCACCTTGGTAAGCAACCTCTCATATGATGAAATTCTAATAGCTCACCCTAAATGTGTTCTGGTTAGGTGAGATTCTAAATTGGCTACAGGGAGATTCTGTTTTAGAAGGTTGACAATGTCAATCCATCTAAGTTACAACGCGTTAGAACACAAACAGTGATGAAACTTTATAGAATTGAGAAAGTTAATACCATATAGAATTCACAACTAAGGGGGTCATTTTCAGTGGCCCTCTATTTAGATCCTGTAGTCAGTATTGGATTATTCTTATTGTTTTTATCAATGCTTTTAGTTATTGCCGATAAAGCTGAATATATATATATATATATATTTCCATTGTGCCACCAAACCGATTCCTCAAAACAGATTCCTAATTGACCTAAGTTTTGTCCCAATTACTTGAAGGCGGCTACATGAATCAACTTCCTCCATGCCAAGTCCTCCGGCAGACTTCTATATATTATGCCAAAATTAGCATAAACACGAAGTTCTCCCAGCTAAATGATATACCATGAGTACTCGTAGGCAGTAGGTGTCAGAATTGACTAATTCAAAACGAATGTTGTGTCAACTATATGACTCTAAATCATCTCTCAATATTCACAATCATGGTTTTTAGAATCTTGCGATTCATGATTCAATTCACACCAATTGATACAGGTTTCAACAAAAAGATTACTGTTAAATCTTAAATTGAGAGAATCATATAAGTCAATTGTGATTCACTATGATTCATTGTTGTTCACTACAATTCAATACTGTTTGCATAGTGCATGAAATGAAATCGTTTTCACTAAACAAAAACAGAGATTAATTAATTTTATTAATATAGTACATAATTTTATATGTATATATACAATTTCATATATAAATTTATATATTATGTTAATAAAGTGATTCACAATCTGATACGATTCACTATTCATTAGTTTAGTAAATCCATTCACAATTCAAACTTGCAAATTGACAACAATGCCCAATATTACAATTTTGGCACGCAGCCTCATTGTTTTAGTTAAATATCTTTACTTACCGAATTTGAAGCAGTGATAAATGTAGTGTCCGTAGAATTGTTGTTTCTAAAGACAAAGAAAAGGCCAAAAGATCGACATTTATACAGCAAATAAGACCTAGTAAACTCATGAACGCATTCCAAACAATGGATAGGAACAACCACAGCTCAGAAATAAATAAAAACTACTTCACTACAATAAATTTGGTAGCCACAAGTTCTTGAAACAAGCATCACATAAAAATCATAAAGATGCTGATCAAAAAAAAGAAAAAAACATAATGATGCCAAGAATATTCCCAATATTACAAAACATAGAGACATCATAATTGGATTACAAAGCACCCAACATTCAAATCCCTCATGAGCAATAATAATCTCTTCAGCTCATTTCCCCTTGCCCTTTACCTCTCAATTCCCCCATTGTTGTGCACAAATAGCAGGAATAAGGTCACATTCGAATACAGTAATGGGCGAGGAATAATAAACACAAGAAAGAGAACATTATACAAAGAAACAAACAAGTCACGTATATAACACATAATTCGAAAAATCAGTAAGGAGTAGTGTGGTAATACCCAGGCGGTGGTAGCCCCACCCCGTTTACTGGCGGCATTCCATAAGGCATCATCATTGGTTGAACACCCGGTGCATAGTATCCGCCGCCACTGATCTTGGCCAAACTAGTTTGGCCTTGCATTCCCTGACTAGCATATTGTTGCCATACAATTTGCTCCTGCACAAGCAATTGCTGTTTCTTCTCCATGTCTGCCATTTGGACATACGGAGGCGGTGGAATGAACGACGACGCAGCAAATGGGTCCTGCCCAACCGTCTGAACGGTTCCATCCGGGGCCGGAAGAGCCAAAACAGGCGTTGCGCTCTTCCCTGGCCCCGGCAATGCCACGCTGCTGGCACTGCCACCGCTTAATTGGGCATTGCTAACATGTTGCCTAACCATTCCTTGATCATACATGCCATTCAATAACAACGGGTCAAGCCCACCACCCATCATTGCCTTTTGGTTCGATAGATGACTTGCTGATTCAACTAGGGCCAATTCCCAATCAGCCTTGCCAGTTTCAGCTGCCGGAGTCTGCCAAGCAGAGGTTACTTCCGGTTCCCCATTCGATGGAAAAGCTTCCCAAGACCCATTTCCATTTTTCGCCACAGGACCCGCAAACAATGCCAAGGCAAATCTATTCCCCTGATCATCAGCAGACAAAGCCTCATCCCTCAAATCCACCAAATCCCCAGCCTCTTGCTGTTTCTGAGGCTTAGGAAGCTCCGGTTCAGGTGGTGGCGGAGGTGTGTAATTTTCTGGCGCTGGCAATGCCTTTATTTCATTCATGTCTTGCACGGGCTCCTCTTGAGCCACCACCGGTTGCTCTACTTTCCTCTCTGGGCTCTTCAACGCTTTCGCTCTATCCCTCACAAACTCCTCCAAAGTCTCCAATAACTTGCCCGTAATCCTCTGCACTTCCGGGTACTCTGATGACCTTGCCAAGCCAATGTCAGTACACCAATTATAAAACCCTACAAGCTCATCAATTTGCTTCGCAGCACTCACATACGCATCGAAAGCCTTAACACAATCCGAATACTCCATGTCGAAAAACCGATCAAGTAACACAGCTAAAACCTCACAAATATCAGCATAGAGCTTAAAACTCTCTCTAAGAATAGGGTACAGAGCAACCAACACCATCCTCCCATTTTTGGCCATACCGGTGGGTCTACACGCCAATAACCTATCCAAAAGCCTCTGCAAATGTCCCATTTTCCCGAAAATCCTTTCGGGGCTCATGTCCCTCAATGGGGTCACATCTTTCTTCTCCTCCCCCGAAGTCTCCCTCACATCCCCAAACGATCTCGACCGTCTCATCCCATAATTTCCATAACCCGGTTCGTCTCTAAACTCATTGTAATCATACTCGTAAGCCCGATTCGGCGGCGATCGCCACCGCTCCTCCCTCGATCCATACCTCTCAATCTCAGAACCACCAGAACCAGAACCAGAAGCACCACCACTTTGCTTCCTCTCATACAAAATCAACTCCAATTTCTGGTCCAAATACAGAGCATAACTCCTCACAAAAGCCGAATGGTCCCACGAATTCGAGTGCGCTTCGTCTCGAAAATCCGACATGTTCAACAACCGAGTCCCTCTACGAGTCGCGTACGTGATCTCTTGCTGAAACACAGGCTCGCCATCGGAGAGAAGGCGATGAACCACGATCAAACTCTTCAAAGCAACGATCCAATCTCGAGTTTTCCCCAATCGCTTCGATACTGATGCTACGCAAGCACTCACGTAGCCTCTCGAGTACGAAGTCAATTGCAAGATCTCTCGAATGTACTTCTCGTCCGCTGGTTCGTCGTCGTGACTCGTCGCTTTCACGATCGCCACTTCCAGATCCGGAGCCAAGTTGCCTGCTACTTTCGCGATTCCGATGCTTGTTTGATCCTTCACAGCTCCGATCGCTTTGCGGATCGTGCTCGGAGCCATTGTTGCCGATCACTGAAAAATCCCAAACACACAAAAATTCAATCAGATCTTCGAAATTTTATAGTTATTTTTTTAAAAAAAAATTGTTTTTTTTTTTTTTTTTTTTTGATCACGTTGAGTTTGGAGAAAGTTCTTCTAGATCTGCGGCGAAGAGAGAGGGTCTGACCTTTCGGAGGGTCTGTGATTTTGTGGTGTTGACTTTTGGAGAAGAAAATGGAGACTGTGAAATTGGATCTGAGCTGAGTTGATCTGCAATGGAGGTCTTAATCCTTCTCTCCTACTTTTTCTCTGTCTAGATTTTCTTCCAGTGATTTGAGAGAGATGAAGATGGACGAATAAGAGGTGGATTGAAAGGATGGGTTGAGGTCCGGAGGGAATCTGGGCCGTTGATCTGAGATCTAGATTTTGTGTTTTCTGGGTGGACTCGTGTAGACTTCGAGCTGAGGACATGTGAGGATTTTAGCGGGTATGTGAGGCTGTTATTTTAGAATAATGCTTGGTCCCTTTTGGGTCACCCTCACCCCTTTACCATGTGGCGGGTGGTGATTGGAGGAGCAGGAAAAAAAAGAAAAAGAACAAAAAAAGGTAATCAATGTGAGAGAGAGGGGGTCAAAGGGGTATGGAGAAAAGGAGATGAATCATTGTTGGTTATTTTATTACCAGGCGAACGTGTACGGTCTTTGCAGAGTTTTGACCATTTTTTTTTCTTTTATTGTCAATAATTTTGGAGATTTTCTATTTTCTAAGGAAATTAAGATCATCCCCATTGAAATTGTTACACTTCACCGGAGTATGTTGTTGGTACTGGTGTAAATTGGGTTCGGCCTGCCTTCGGATCTGTAGACTCGCGCCAAAAATCGAATTGGGCTGGGCCAACTTAGGCTTCATTTGGAGATAATAAATTTTAGTTAAAAAATTAAAAAATTATTATACGTTGTCATATTATTCTCTTTATTTTTTTACACATCTTTTTATAAAAAATTAAAAAATTATTAAAATAGCATATCTTCAAACGAGGCCTTAGTCACACAAAATCTCGGCTCAAACTTAAGCCTAGGCCTGGGTTTGGCCCAAGCTGGACTCAACATTTATTTTATTTTATAGGGCTGCGTGGAGAAAAATGATTCATGTAGTCGACCCCATTTGATGGAACTTAAGACTTTGGTTTGGTTTGTTTATTTTCTTCACTAAAATAACTTAAAAATAACATTGGGTCTCAGGCAAGACGAGCGAGCTAGGCCTTGGGTGGTCTTCAGAGTGTGCGTGGATCAAGTCAACAAGTTAGGCTCGAGCCAAAAAACAAACAACCTAGGGCTCGGGGGGTTCGGGTTGGGATCTGGTTCGGGCTTGGCTTGAATAGGTCGGGCCGCAGCGGGTTTCGGGTGGGTTTTGGGCCAACGGACCATTTTTACACCCTAATTGTCGGGTTTACTTAAGCTCGGTTTATTTATGCCAAAAAAAAAGAAGTAATAATAGAGACCCCCATAAAACACAAACCCCCAAAATGATCTGAACCATTCATATCACTATCAGACACAACTCCCCAAAAAAATTTAAACACATTAATGACCAATACATCAGTGGGGGGTCATGGGGATCCTCTTTTGTAGGGGTCCCAAACATTTTCCAAAAAAAAATTATACTATATTTGATTGCATTTTTTAAAGGAAAAATTAGTTAAAACCCTTCCATTGGACCTTTATTTGGTAAAAAGAACAGTCTAATTTATTTTACTTTATAAACCCCCTAAAGAGAAGGCACATAATTGAATAAGGATAAAGTAAAATATATATTTTTTTTCTTGGATAATATTGTCAAAGTAACATGTTACTGTGAGACAAAATAACATGTTAGTGTCAAACAGAGTAACACGTTACTGTTTGCATCAATTTCGAAGGTAATGAATTTTATTTTATTTTTAAAAAAATTTATTGTCAACATAGATCTTGTTTGATAAAAATACTAATTTTATTAAAAATAGACATCTAAATCAAAAGTTATATTATTTTAAAGTTTAATATTTTAGCATTAGTGGTATGTGTTTAATTTTTCAAGAAATTTTTTTTGTACTTGTCCTTAATACATTAAGATTTTATTATGAAGAGGGTTTTGACCAAACTCCTTTTTAAAATTAATGTACTAATTATTGCATTAGTATTGGTAATAGTGGTAGTAACGGGAGTGGAGGTGGTGGTTGGAGTAGTGTTGATGGAATGGAGGTAGTGGTGATAGCAATGTTGATGATGGTGGTTGTGGTCATTGTAATGATGGTGTGGTGGTGAAAATGATGGTAATAGTGGTGTTGGTACAATTTTAGTTCGGAAAATGTTTTCATCATTTTAAAAGTGAAAAATATTTTTTTTTCCCAAATAGACTTGTCTTTTTATTATAAATGCTAGAAAATGTGGAAAAACAAAATTCCATCCAAACAAACGGAGCGTTAGTTAAAAAAGTTTATGACTGAAAAGTTTTGGATTTGGTATTTGAATCAACCGTTTAAATTTTAAGTTTTGAAAATAATTGTTTCAAATTTTATTTTATTCATAAGGATAATAACAATTTAAAAAATCATATTTTTTAACACATCAACACTTCATTTGGCATGAGTTATTTTGGCTAAATTAACTAATAAAGATAAAACAGACTAATTTAGCTAATAAATAAAATATCACATCAAAATCTTAATCATTTCACTTTTTCTCTTACAATCATCAAATCGATTACAAAAAAAAAAAGAGCAAAAATTTATCCCAAACAGAATCTTTTAGCCAGCCTAAAATAACAAAAAAGTCAAGCTAAATTAGCTCATCCCAAACGAGGGCTAAAGGAATAAGGTTATTTACATAGTGTGACACCCGAATTGTTTAATCAAATATCATGTATAATTAGAATAAAATAAAATAGTGAATATTATGAGTGTATGAGATAAAGTGAAGTTTAATTAGGAATAATTTATTTTAAGAATTGAGCCAAAGTAAAAATACACCAAAGTTAAGTAAAATAATAATAATTATAAGAATAAATAAATAAATAAAATAATAACAAATCTCATAATAACAAATCTAATAATAATAATAACAAATATAGTAAAAATAAACGTGCGTAGTTGCTGGATGAATAAAACCTCAACCATCTGGGCTGTCTAGGAATAGGGAGAATGATTTAGCAAATTCGGACCATTAATGCATCCCATGCTGTGTGTATATATAAAGGGATGGGTGGGGCTGTAAAGTGAATAGGACGAAAGGAAAAGAAATAGAAGGGAAAAATGGGAGCAAAGGAACACCGGTGCGAAGGTAGAAAAAAGAAAAAGAAAATAGTAAAAGTTAATATTAATGTGAGTTATATTATATCTTGAATTATCATAATATATTTTACGTATGTTTTGAATTATCATAATTTATTTTTTAAAAGTTATGTTTTATAACTTATATTTATATTTCAATTACATTAATTATTTTCTGAATTCCATTTGTTTAAAATGAAATCCATGGATATGTTTGTTTAAATTTTAAAAATTATTTGACAATGATTTTGTAAACATTTATTTTCTATAAGTACCACCACGGGAGTCCCATGCCTTGGGGGACTTAAATAACCATTGACATCTGTTTGGCAATTTGTGGTTCTCTGTTTGTCATGGATTCATTGATCTCTGTTCTAATTGTCACTCTTGTGACCTCTGTTCTGTACCGTGATTATGATTATTTATTTACATAATTTCTGTATTTCAATTCCTGCAACTTTGAATAATTTGTTTATTTATATTAAGTTATGTAAATGCTTTAGCTTAACTAATTTCCATGGTTATTTTGTGTTCCCTATACTCTTGGCATAATAGTTCTCACTTTGTTGTATGCTTATAACTGTTACCCTTTCAAGTGACGAGATGTAAGGAAGATCCGTAACCTCATGTAGTAAAACCTGTATAAGAATTTGATGCTGATCCGTTATTTTTTTTCTTTCATTTTCTTCCTTTTGTTTTTTTTTTTACTGCGAGCCAGTCACTGAATAAAAAAATAAATAAAAGCCCTATAGATGTACTTTCTTTTATCCAAATAGTCGAATGGAGTTAATTTTCTGTTTAATTATTTTCTTACTTTCATTTTGCCTCTGCCTGCACCATTTAATTTGTTGCGATTAAAATTATTTAGAAAGTTACGATTTCAGCCCTAAGTCCCTGGGATTGGGTCGTGACATATAGAGACCCTTTAAACTATTAAAAAATATTACTTTGATTCTCTAAACTATAAAAGCGCATAAATAGACTCCCTAAATTATTGAGAAATATCATTTTGTCTTCTTAATCTATAAAAGTGTACAAATGAATTTTATTATCTATATATAATTTTATTTATATATTGAGTCTGCTCTACCACAAATAAATTTCGCCGCATAGATTTGATAGAGTCCCCTAATCTTGATATTCAAGCACGAATCTCTTGAGCACTTCGGTGGTGGATAGCAGTATGGGCAAAGCACTTTACTGCAACGAACGGTTGGTTCTTATTACATTTACCAAGATAGTCTTGCTCAAATGAGTTCTACTATAGAAGCTTTCAACATACACCCGGGTACAAATCTTTCACTCTTTGAGAAGTGAAAACTTATGACTAGATCATCTTGAAGACGGATGCGATGGGAAATTATAAAAGTATATCAATTGGACCTTCTAGTTGAAGGGGTCAAAGTGAAATACGCCAATAATTTCAGGGATCTATTTATACACTTTTATAATTTAGGAAGTCAAAATAATACTTCTTAATAATTTAAGAGACCTTTGTATAAATAACTCTTATTTTCACCGTTCCAAGACATAAATACATGGATCAATAAGTCAATATCGTATACTACTTCTTCCTAGCTTTTCATAGCAATTTAAACATACTCCCTTAGAATTTTATTAGATTTTATAGTTTCCAACCACTTGAACAATCAATCCGGATGGACTTAAAGGGTGGCAAGAAGGGTGATCGCCCCCTTACAATTTTAAAAAATCTTTCATATATTAGTATTAATTATTATTTATTTTTAAATTATAAATATTCGCCCCCTCTAGATTTGAAAAAAAGAAGAAGTGATAGTACGATTTACACATTTTTACATATGAAAGGTGAGATGCAAAGTACAAAATTTAACAATTTTGACAAAATATAATAATAAAATTTGATTTCTCATAATTAGTATCGATAAATTGTCTTACAATTGATCTTTTATAAATCAATATGAGCATAGGAAAACATGTTATTTATATATATTTTTATACTATTTGTACCTTTTTTGTATGTAAAAATTTATATTGTAATTTACACTTCATTTTAAATTTTTTTGTTAAAATATATATTCTTCGCCTCTATATTAAAATTATACATCGGTCCCTCCAATCAACCATTCTGCCTAATCACATCTACACCCTAGTGATATTCCATCAATAAATGGACTTAA